TAGATTAGGAATAATAATGAGAAAGGTTATTATCACCATTTATTTACTGACGTAGTCGCAGAAATAGACAGAACAGAGAGAATATGTAAGCACAACAGCTAAACACCAGACAACGCATTTCCTACTTTTCTTGGTCTTCCGTGTCGTTTCTGGAAATTTTGTAATTTTGCTGGGTCTTTTGCAATATAACAACCAAAATGCATCATTAAACCAATAGCATGCTTACATACATATGTTTTCAAATTTGATCTGAAATCATAATAATTTAATTTAAATGTTGCATCAACTAGAAGCAAACTTGATAACGCACCAACAGATATTAGTTTTCTTGTCGTCAAAAAAATGAAAATATCATCACATGAGTTTATATAAAACTTCGATACAAATGGTGTATGAATTGCTACTTGGTCAGATGGTAAGGAATGTTGTTCACACCATACACAAAAATCATCAATCGAACGAACATTCGGTCTTGATACTGAACGACGATACTTTAACAAACTTGAAATTTGTGTACTTGGAACATCACTAGTGCATTCATTTTGTATAGCACGACGTGTTTGAGATTGAGTTAATCCAGCTGCTACTGATTTTTTGACAATATCTCTAACAGGTGATGGAGCGCGAGTTGAACTAGCACGATTATCATGATTATGTTCACTAGATGTTGAAACAGCAATTTTTTCATCATTGTAATGGATCACACGAATTTGAACGTCGCATTCAGGATATTTCCTAGCTTGGCTACATCGATATGTTACTTTTTTCCAAGTATACTCTTATATATTATTATTATATTTTCATTTTTAAACACAAACCGGGCACAAATCTGTCTTAATTCCAGACACAAGAAAATCTTCGTCCACCTGTTTCCTCTTATATAGATTTCTTTACAGTCAGATATGAATTTATTCATTCAAGAACTAATCACTTTGTTTGTATTATTTAATAATACGTCTTTTGAGGTAATTTGTCACAGAACACGTTGGTTTACACATGTGCGAATATGGAAAAGTTGTACATTGCTTTAAGATATCCCCCTGGAAAAAAATAGTTGCAGTCGATTTTTTTAAAATATGATCAGTATAAAAATACATTTTTTAAAAATTAATTATATATTCTGAAGCGTTCCGAGTTCTCTATCATCCTGTATATTTATGTCTTGTCTTGAATTTACTTGCTGAAAAAAAAATTGAGTGTAATGGCGGTCCCCTCATCGTCAGATTCACAGAAATTCTAACGGCTGCGGCCTCTCAGTATTTTGTATTTTTCTTATGTTTCTTTAGAACCCAAATGTTAATCTTTTTCTAAAAAGATGCGCCACGTAACGCCTTACAAAACCATACCTAAACTTTAATTTTAGAGCTTCTATCAAGAAAACTATACGTGGATTATACGAAAGACGAAAAGAAAGGAAAACTTTGAAAATCTGTTCTTTTTTTTTCACTAGAACCTTTTTCTTTTCCTATTATTTCCTCAAAAAAGGGTTGCAAAGGTGAGAAGTCAGTTCTTTTCGTACTTCCGAATGCGCTCTTTCTCGTGGTCTGTAACAGATGGTGGGGAAAAAACTAAAAAAGTAGTGAAAAAATGCAGCTTTTGGGTACTTGTCGACTGACGGTACCTTCGCCATACTCACGAGGAATGATCCCCAACTGATAAATCGCTTTTTCAACGAAACCGACTGGACTATAGGTAGTCGACGATGCTGATTCCGAATACCACCATGAATGCTGCCGCTAGGCCTTCAAAGACCGGTATTCTGGAAAACCAGTTTTCGAGAAACTCTAAAGAACAACCAAAAGCTTTCTTAATGAGGTGTAATTGTAGTCCATAAATTTCTGATTAAAACGAGGCATCTCCCAGCTCTACACAGCATTCATGGTGGTATTCGGAATCAGCATCGTCGACTACCTATAGTCCAGTCGGTTTCGTTGAAAAAGCGATTTATCAGTTGGGGATCATTCCTCGTCAGTTTATTTTTCATCAAATAAATGCAATACAAGACATAAATATACTGGGTGATACAGAACCCTGAACGCTTCCAGTATATATAATTATTTAAAAAAGTTTGAGGATGATGCAGTGAAGAAAATAGACTTAAATAAGAAATATAGCACTGCGACAAAATGCATGTTCAAGTTTTCGCTTAAAACACTATTCGAGCTTTCAACCTTTATTCAAGGGTCATCATTAGAGGTGAAGGTAAAAAAAAAAAGTTTTTTTCTTTTTTTTTCTGTTCTTCTCCAAAAAAAAATAGTGTTCAAAAAAAGCTCGAATAGTGTTTTAAGTGAAAACTTGAACATGCATTTTATCACAATGCTATATTGCTTACTTAAATATATAATTATTTCTTTTTAAATGTATTTTTATAGCAATGATATATTAAAAAATCGACTTCAACTATTAATTTCCAGGAGGAGTGATGGTGATACCAGAGGACATGTATATTGTTCTTCATTTCGCTTTCAGTTTTATTAATCTTTACCGGTGTATATAATAATATTCATACATAGATAATATAACAAATATATACATACACAGTGTTGCTGTCCTTTTTTTCTTTTTCTTTTACTAGCTGACTAAAAAATACATCCTCACCGTAACCCTGTATATCAATGTATAAGCATTGTGATTTGAAGCGTTAGGTTTTTTTCTCTACTTGTATGATCATCAAATAGGATATAAGGCGATTTCTTTCCTTATTTGGTATATTTCGTTACGATTTATTTCATATAAGCTCTATTCTGTCAGAATAAAGTGTATATCAAATAGAATAGAATATAAATAATATTGAATAACTAACACGAAAAACCTTCTATTACAAAAAATTGATCAAAAAATGTGTAAACAGCTGAGTGAATTTTATTTGAGTTGCCGCAATAATAACATAGAAAAAGTAAAAGAATATTTAATAACAATAACGGAAAAAGAAATAAATCATCTTGAACCAAATGGTAGCACTGCTTTACATGCGGCTAGTTACAATGGACACGGTGATATTGTTAGACTTTTACTGGACAAGGAAGCTTCAACCACATTAAAAAATCGTTATGGTTATACAGCTGAACAAGAGGCTAGAACTGATACGATAAAAGAATTATTTCAACAACGGAAAAAAGCATTTATAGTTAATAAAAAAACAGGTCAAAAATATCCATTAAATGGTGTTAAACTAGATCCAAACGGTGTTAATGATGCACCGAATACAATAAAATTTGGATCTATTCAACATTCAATTGTTCAGCTTCCACCAATTGTCGATTTGAGAAGAGACTGTACCACTGTTGAAAATCAAGAACAGATTAACAGTTGGTGAGAAGAGAGAGGATATACATTCATAGAATATATACCTATATAATAATTTTTATTCTAGTGTTGGTAACGCTTTAGCTGGTGCCTATGAATATTTAATTAAAAAAGAAACTGGAAAACAAGTTGATATAAGTAGACTATTTATTTATTTTAATGCACGTGAACTTAGGAGTCAACAGATTCGAGATGAAGGCTGTTATATTTCCGATGCAATCCAAACATTAAAAAGAACAGGTGTTTGTAAAGAATATTTTTGGCCATATAATATTGCTAATGTAAATACAAAACCATCATCACATGCATATAAAGAAGCTAGTCCATATACAGTTTATGATCGTGAAGGAATTAGATTAGAAGCTAATCTTCAACAAATGAAGCAATCATTAGCCGAAGGATATCCATTTGCATTTGGCTTAATGACATATGATTCATTTGCTCAATCAAGTCACAATGGAGGGCATGTATTGATGCCAAGTCAAATGGATAAACAAAGAGGACCAGCAGGACACTGTATGTTAGCCGTGGGCTATAATGATATGCATAAAAAATTTATTGTTCGAAATTCGTATGGAACGCAATGGGGAGACAAAGGATATCTCTATATCCCATACGAGTACATGAGTAACCCGTACTATAATCAAGATATATGGTCTATAAGGAAAATTGCACAGCGTAATTCAATACAACAACAAATCGAAGAGACAAACGATCAACAACATGTTAAAGATCATTCATGGTTTTGGAATCTGGATGATAATTGGATTAAAAATAATTTTCAACAATTTTATTATGTCCAATCCGCCTCTTGTACACCGCAACACTTTCAACCATTTAATCACTCTCCTTTTTTTGGTTCAGCTAATACTGCTCTTAAGTGTAAAGATCAAGCACAGGCTTCAGAAACGGATATTGATGATGAGGACTGTTACATCGAATGGGTTAAATAAGGTGAAAAAAACCTTCTATTTTATCTATTTAAATAATTAATAAATTCGTTAAAACAAGTATAAAAGATCGCATTCAAAAGTCGAGGGCTTACTTCAAACTTTCATCTTCACTAGATTCTTTGTGTTTTGATCATATATGCACAAGCCACACTGCTCAGAGATGGACGAGTACATGGATTTTGGAGTGCAAGTATTTTCTAAAAAGTAGAGGGCGATTAAGGAGGGCGGTAATCACTTCCAAACCTGCCCTCAAATTATGCTAGTTTGTAGAGTACGTTGAGTAATACGTGTCTTCGAGGAATGTCGGCGGTCCTATGAATATTGGTGAAGTTATGAATTTTTTAACGTTGGTCTTTGATCAAAATTTTCGGACTAACGGCTGATTTTCGATGTCTCCAAAGTTATTCTGAAGAAACCATCGATAGGATAGAGAATTTTACTTTCATGATGAGTCTAGCTACCGTTATCATGATTTCGTCCTTGCCAATAACTCTTCAGACGATGAGATGAAGTGAGGCAATCGAAAAACAGATTGACCTATCTTCTTGACGAAGAAGATAAGTTCAGTCTAGTAGTCCCAACTTTTGCTTTTCAGCAATTGGTTCGAGTCGAAGTAGGGATGAGAGCGAAGGTAAGAAAAATAAAGCGGATCAACAATAAATATTGAATAAATATAACACACAAGAAGAATAACTAATGCGAAATAAATATTTTTTATATAATTTTCATGAGTTGCCTAGTTCCAGTTATATTATAACTGAGGCTTTAGTAACTTGAAATCACTTCGAAAAAATGAAACATGGCTATTCGAACAAAAAGCCAGCCAGCAATAGTTTTAGTTTTTCTTTTCTCAGTTATAACTCGAATCGACATAGAGACCGTTAGGTTAGTTTAGCCAGCCAGACATGAGGATGAGAAGCCAGAGGAAACTTTACGATTTTAGACAAGCTGACTGGAGCTTGCTTTCAGAAAAAATCTATGGACTGGGTAACACTGCTGCAAAACTGGAATGTTAGTGATAAGTTTTTCCTTTTGGAGCAACATCTTCTTCAACTTGTTGACTCTGTTATCCCAAATAAGCTAGCCCATCAGTATTAATACTTCTGATCAGCATTAGTTCACGAGTGACCTACGTAAATTGTATAACAGGAAAATCGATTATATAAAGAGTGGCGGAAGGTTGATAGCGATACCAATAGAGATAAATATCATATTGCTCCAGATGAATTTGAAACTGCTTGTCAAAACGCTAAACAGAACTATATTAAAAAAATAAGCTCTTCACCAAATGTTTTCACGAGAGCGTGGTGGACTGCGGTCTTCAAAACAGTCCATAAGAATAAAACTTCTTCTATTCCTCCTCTGAAGGACGCCTCAGGCACTTTGGTCGCAGATAGACTTGATAAAGCGAACCTATTAAATAATTATTTCTCGTCTGTCTGTACTCTAGATGATAAGGAAAGGGATGATAACATAACACAAAAAATACCTATCTCGACCAAGAAACTAACGTAAGTACAATAAACATTTCTGTTCTTGATGTTGAAAAAGTTCTGCTTCGTTTGTCTCCTTCTCAGGGGTATAACCGGTATCAAAATTGCGATACCGGCACCGGCCACCGGTATACAAATTTCATACCGGTACCGGCTTGTCTTGATTATGTTTTGCTTAAATACAAATACCTTTTTTGTTTTTCTGTACTGTGAATTTTATTTACAGTTATTCAGAATGTGAGTCAGTTGAATTAAAGTCTAAATCATAGATGAACTGAATTTAAACGTTTGTCGCAAAATCGTATCATACCGCAAAATATCGGCCGACTGATTCTACTTCATATTAATCACGGTATACCGGTCGCCGTTATAATTCATGTCGGTACCGGTAAACTGGCCGGTATATCGGTCGGCGCTATACTTCATACCGGTACCGGACCGGCGCCGGTACCGGTTGCACCTCTGCTCCTTCTAAAGCTACTGCCATAGGTATTTCTAACCGAATTTCTAACCGGAAATATTTCTTTGCTGTTTTGTGCGGTCTTATGTCACGTCTTTTCACATATATAAACAGAGCACATGTAAGTCTATATATAGACTTACATGTCCTCGGTTTGATGCAGCCTAAAATAAAGTCAAGTTGTTTAACTCATCGAAAAAGTGGTTCCAAACACTGGCTTTCCAGAGAACTCTTTTACTTCTAAAACGTCTAAGCATTGCAACTTTAAAACATTAAGCTGTTTTGTACAGATTAGAATGGTTTTGAATTGTTTTCTTCCAGTGTATTCAAGAATCACTATTTCTTGACGTCCTCTCATCCTAAAGTGTACCACATGATTTATTGATCACGCTACATCCAAAGGCGAATATCTCATATTTCTATGTTTGAAGTGTGAGTACCTCAGGGTATGGGGATTATGACATCTTTGCTAAAAGGAGATAAACTCGAAACGAAATTCAAATCTGTATCTATCTTTATAATTAGCTTTACTTTTCTAACCACAAAAGCGCACGGGCTAAGGCAAGATTGCTGAAAAACAGTGAACGATGACTTTTGTTAATGAGATGAATTTTTTTGAATACTCATAAGGGACATCTTTTCAAAATACGCGCATTTAACAAAGTTTTATCCAATGACGTAGTAGTTGTTCTTTCCATATAAGCTTTTCTTCTTTTTCGAGTTGAACATTTTTTCGTTTTCTTTTAGTTGAAAGTAATATGGAAAAAATAAAAGATATGGCTGTAATTTTACGAAAATAAGTGATCTATTCTTGATCTTACTTTTGCTTAACTGCTTGTTTAACATCTTACTTTCCTTAGCTTCTTATCTAGATCACGAATATCAACTTTATTTTGCATAAAAAAGGCTTTGTTCACTAAATTAAGGTTTATATTTTTCCAATCGTGAACTATAGTTCACGATTGGGTCAAACCATATAAAACTGAATTAGTTTCTTTCACTTTTTTCTTCGATCTTTGTACGTAAAACATCCTTATTATCCTTTTCCTTTCGTCTAATATTGTTGCGAATGGAAAAGTAAGAGCAAGAACAGATCACTTATTTTAGGCTAAAAAGACGACAACGCTATTTTTTGAAGTTAAATGGAAACAACGGTTTCTGCTTCGCTGTAAATTGTAGCTCCAATTAGGCGCTAAAAGTCTTTCTCAAAGGACACCAGGTCCAAATACAAAAACTGTGCGGAAAAGCCAGGTAACAGAGAGAAAATTAGGTAAACTTAGAACATATCAATCGCAAAAAAAATTATTGTATAGTGAATGTTATGTGAAAAAATACTTTTTTTCGCCCTTTGAAACAGGAAAAAGTGATCTGGTAGTGGTATCTAGAAAGTCTGATTAGTCACAGCTTCTATGGATGGTGATTTATTCAATTAGCCTTCATCCATGAAATGTATTTTCCCTTATTGGAGAGGACTATTTTCTGAAGCTGTTATTTGGAGGTAAAAGGAAACAATATTTAGATTTAAAGAAAAGCTTAGACAGAATTAGATAGCCATAAAGCTAAAATACCAAATGAAGATGGAAAGAGAGTTTTCTGTCTCTCACTCTTAGCTCTAATGTGCGCGAAGTTTATTTGCTGTCTAAGTTAGAAAAACGGACAAGAACAACAACAATATAAAGTCCATCTCTAAGAACCAGTTTTGAATAGTCATATAATGATACTGTTCTTTCTCTAATACAAGAGCTGTGGCTTTTTCCTCCTTTATACAACTTGTCAGTATGGGTACTCTTGGAAACTGGACTCTTGGAAGCCAAAATGGAAGAAAATGGTACAGCACAAAAGTAAGAAAATACAGAATGCATCACAAGAGAAACTATGGAACACGTCCTTTCAGTCCGAATTTTTTCTTCATGATAAACATGCTGAAAGGCTTTCCTGTCACGCTTATAGCTCATGTCCGCCTGCCCTAGCCAAATTTGCCCACTGTGAGTCGTTCATTCACAACACCTATTACTTAAAGTAGTTTATTAATTCTTTACTTTTCTTCGTAGTCATTTATTTTATTCTTTGCTAAATGTTTCCGTACAAGTAAGCACCCTAGTGAAAAACTTACTCAAATCTTACTAAGATCTTAATAAAATTATTCTAAGATCTTACTAAGATTGTATTGTCTAAGACTTTTTCAAGATTGGATAAGAATATATTAGGATCTTAATAGCAAGAACGATAACGTCTTTTAAATAATATTTATCCGAGATTCACTGAAAATTTTTCAAGTTTTAATCCGCATTATCTAAGTTGAAGAATGAAGAGAAATTTCATATTTTCAGGTGTCCAACTATGGACCTTGACCTGCATGTACACTCTCTAAAAAGTTGTTGAACACTTTC